AAAAAGAAGTCGTCTTGCGAAATACTTCTTTTCATGTTGTCGATTTATTTACTTTACATCAAGCAAACATTAGGAATTTATTCTATTGTCTGATTGTGAGGAAAGTGGTTTGTAGCCTCTTGTTTAGGTCAAAATTGTCTGATAAAAAATTTTTGATTTTGGGTGATTTGTCGATGAGAATGGAAAATTTTTAAGAGTTTAGATATCTGAAATATCGTTAGGTGGGGCCATAATACGTGTACTGAGCGCAATTTTTTTTCATAATATACCAATAGTGTGAGAGAGTGTCCCGAGACTTCGATGCGAGATTTAAATGAAGCTTTCGTAAATCATCTATAAAGATTCAAAGGCCTAAACTCAATTGTTTAAAATAAACTTCAACATTCCGAGGCATTTTTATTAATATCACACAGTAATAGGTGTAAAGTACTTAGGAGTATCTGAGAGTATCATATCAGTTTTTGACAAGAAACAAGGAGGGATGACTCAAGCTAGCTGGAGTGAGTTATCCCCATCCTGGCTACCTAAAGGGCCTCCTTTAGTAATTTGGTAGAGCTCAAAACAAAAATCAATTTGGTCGACCTCAAAACATCAAAAAGTCGACAAAAATTTCGAATTTTTTTTTCGTAATCCCCTTCGGGTGCTGTCAATTCGAAGACAAAGTGTACCAAGAATAGCCGGTCGCTGTGCCAGTAGCATAGAATGTTGCAAACATTTTTGCAAAAAACTACAAAAATACTTTTTAAGTCTACAAATAAGCATCTTTTCTACTGTTATGTGATGTTATTATAGCACTATACAAATGAAAAGAAAGTTAGTTAATTAGTCACAAAAATACTAAAATTCGGGGTGGATCTAGTATTTTTGCGAGAGGGTGTTAGTTTTCAACAAGTTTTCGCAATTTTTTCAAGCTTTTTAGATCAAGCTAATTTTATAGGTCCCAGGTCATGTCCTTTCGAAATGTCCGAGTTCTCTGCTTGCACTCATTCCCGCATGAAAATTTCCAAACGTCTCGTGCTACGGTTGTTTTTGATCATAGAACAGTCCCTTTGCGTTCTCGCTTGAATCATATGAATTTTTGACAATAAACTAGGGGTGATTACTCAATCTAGCTGGAGTGAGTTATCCCTCCCTGGCTACTTAAAGAGCCCCTTTAATAATTTGGTCGATATCAAAACATCAAAAATTCGACAAAATGTTTGAGAGCTTATCCCCCCCCCCATCGAATGATTTCTGCCACTGGCTGGATCAGTTTTTGAACCAGAAATAAAAAAAACTTCAAAAGGTCCTTCTCCCCTTTACCTACTGGCTGCGCTTTCTTAAAGTAGAAAAACAGATAGAATGTATAAAGGTAAATTAAGGTACTGTCAACTGTACTTTATAGAATGAAAGCAAACTGCACTTGTTATTTCAGGCGCATCGAGACGTAAACTCAACAGTGACTAGAAGATTAGCGGTGACCAGACATTCAAGGGCGATTACCAAAAGCTTACATAAACATAAACTGTCTAAACTGTACCCCTATGTCATAGCATCATCCACAAAATTTAAATAATTTGTTTTAACTTTGAAGAACTCGAACAGCAAATTGTAGATTGCCGTATTTAAAAAATGACGTAATTTTTTTGTTTTCATCTAGTTTTCCACCTGAGTTCTAAATGGTCTGCTTTTTCCTTCCTCTATCATGGTTCGCTAGTCGAGTTTCTCTATATTTTTCCTCATTTTTCTGGATCCGTCGGATCTTTACTCCGCCCAGTCTTGTGACGGTTTTTCGCGCTCGCGTCGATCTTTTTGGTGGCGTATCGTCGCCTGTGCGTGTTTCTGGAGACCTTTCGGCCATTTTCTGCGTTCCCTCGCTTCAGAGTGGATTTTTTTCCCATTGCAGTCGCCGTATTTCTTTCCCTCGTTCTGCTTCCCGCCTTCGCCGTTGATGTGCTTGATTCTTCCGACGTGTCGTCTCAGTCTTCGTCGCTAGATTCTGCAATTCGTCGCTTCTTCTGCTTTTGAAACGCCGTATTCTTCGTATTTTCCACTGGTGGATTAAGGTTATAGTTCACGTGGTGTAGGTTTATTTAAGCTTTTTAGTTAAGGTAGCTTTTTCAGGTAAACTTGGGACGACTTATGGTAAAATTTAGTGTAATTACCGCACAAGTTGTAAGGTAAACTTCAAGTGAGTTACGGTAGTAGTGAGGTGACTTGGGGTAAAGTATGGTGAGCATTTTTTTCTGATTTTTAAGGTAAAATTAGCTCCATTATTTTTAGATTGCAGATCTTCACCAGGGGCAAAACATTGGTTCTCCGCGAGGCGTTGATCAGCTCTTTTGTTGTTGCTTTCCAAATAACATTTGTTGTTTGTAAAAATGGTTTGAACATATAATGTTGTCGGGTGGTTTCAAAAAAGAGACTTTTTACCCTACCTTTATTCTATGTTTGTTTTAGCCTTAAGTTATTGACAATCTGGGATTTTTTCAAGTATTTTTTGATTCATTGTAATTATGGACCTCAATCGCCTCCATTTGGACTGCAAATCAAAAATTTTAAACCCGTTTTTTTAACACAAAGAAGAATTTTTAATTTTTTATGTTTTGAATTGCGGTTGAAAGAGCATTATTATGCTATGTCACTCGGCTCATTCCGATAGTTATTTGTGATAACTGATTTTGCATGGAAAACAAAAAGAAACAAAAAAACTAACACATACTCCAACACAAAGTTCCTCCCCGTTTTTGGTTGGTCGGAACAAAAACTGGTCAAAAATTTTCTGAAAGTGTCTGTTCCGTAAGTAAGGATAAAACCCGTTTTTGGAACAGTTCTTCTTTCCATTTTAACGCATTTGAAAAGCTTCAAGATTGGTTATAATGATTATAAACTTTTAAAAAAGATATCAATCACTTATACAATATTAGTAACTTTTGAGGTCAGTTAAACAACATGTTTCATGAACCGGTTTCATTCGACTTCGATGTGTTTTTTTTTGGATTACAGAATTAGTTAGCGATTGATTTATTAAAATAATAGTGCAAAGTACACTTCATTTGGTGGGTCAAACGGCGAATGGTTTAATTTTGTTTCAAGATTTTTTGATATTTTTTCGAAAGAAGTTTGAAAAATTCGAAACTTTGCAAAGGGAAAAATGCTATTTCACAATTGTCTCAACATTACGAGGTGCATTCTGCGCATTGGTCCAAACTGTGCATTCTGCGCATTGTATGTGGATTCCGCAACAGGCCAAAAACAGTTTTGTCGCGGAATCCGCAACTTTGCTACTTTTCTTTTATCTTCTTCGCTGTTTTGGATTCCATAAAAAAATACCTAAAGCACTGTATCGCTCAAAATTGCTCCAAAAAAAGGCGAATTTGCGGAATCTGCAGCCGTATTTGCGGAATCCAAAACGGTTTGTAGAATCCAAAAACAAATAAAAAGACATTTGTACTTGACAAACAGAGTCCGCAACGTTTGACAAACAAATTCCGCAACAAGTAAGTGGAAACTGCAAATTTTAAGTTGAATCCGCCTTTTGTTTGCGGATTCTGTTTACATAGATGTATGTGTGTAGTATTGCGCTTAAAACTATATCTTTTAATTACTGGTCACCAGAAAAATCAATCGCAATTACTACATTGATTAACCACCAGTTGAAATACCAAACGTCTAGTCTCAACTCCTGTCAACCCAACTTCGATCTCATATCCTGTCAACTTCGATCTCAACTTCGATCCCAAATACTGAACTAATGAATTTAGATCCCAAATACTGACCTACCGATCCCAAATACTGACCTACTTCGATCTGAACTTCGATCCCAAATACCGATGCAGTCTCAAATACTGA